TTTCATGGAACATTCTAGAAGTTTTCGTAGTAAGGGACCAATATCGTAAATGTGTATAACTATATTGTTAGGTTATTTAGTTATAACGCACGATAAATCGAACGGTCGGGAGCAATTTAATGGCAATATCCGCGAGCAAATTGAAGGTTTTGTGGAGGCTTTCAGACTGCAAACGACATCGAAAAATTGAATTCCTATTACCGGCTTTAAATGTGTTTCACCGTGTTCTATTTTGTTTTAAGCTTAATGCAAAAACGCATAGAGTTTCATTATTGTAAACACTTTAAAGGTTTGTCTTTCATTTTATTATATAAGTACTATCTGTTGGAATTAAAAGAAACAAAAGCAAGTATACTGTGTGTTCTTCTAGACTATCCTCTACATCTATGCCATATTTCATCGAGATCCGTTCAGCTGTGCAGGCTACAAACTCTAACAAACATCCATCCATCTAAACTTTCTCATTTATAACATTAGTAAGATGGACCTTCCTATTACATTGCGAGGTATTTTTATTATTAAAAGCATCATACTGTATATAGTTTGTATTAGAAATGTGGCTAAAAATAAGTTATTTTAGTGTGTCGTATCTTGTTTGTTTAGTCGGAGCAACCCCCGGTGTTACACGGCTCGCAGCCGACGCCGACACTCGACTTAAGACTCCAATCTCTATTTGTTTTGTTTTCTTTCTCTTGACAAGAGCGCCGCTTTCCTATCGCTCTTTATCTATCAACTTGTTTAAATAGACCTGGAATCATTGGCGTTGTGTAAATAAAGGAAGAAATATTATCAGCGCAGAGTAAACTCGCCGGGAATTATCATAGGTATAATGTAAATACTGAAAAGAATTATAGGCTCTGTTTTAAATGTATTACTCTATGTTTACCGTCTTACGATAAACTTGGCCGTAAAGTTTAATTTCTGTAATTAGAAATTAATGCTTTATTTGTTAAAAAACTAGGCTGTATCAGAATAATATACAAATATTTTTTTAAATGTAGTGATTTTTAACGAAAAATTCCATAGCAGAGTTAGGCTTAGCACAACTAAAATTATTTATTCATATTTACTTTTGCCACCTCCAAAGTCGAATAAACGCCACCACAACTTTACGTCATATCCCTATGCAACGATGTGTTTAACATCAGATGTTTAGTTTCTAAGATAAAGTAACGGAAAGCGTAACAATGAACCACTTAGATTAAAAGGTTTTGTTTGGGGGAAATGTTTGCCATCACCTTCCTGGTAGGCGCCGCGGCGGCGGGCGGAAACATTCACCCTAAGGGTGATTGAATTTACTTAACCTAACTTTTCCATTAGCTCTCAGCAACATCTTTAAGTGGGATATTTGTTCCTTGAATACAAATTGCACCTACTTTGTTTTTGATACTTGAATTTATGTGTAAAAAGAGGAAAAAAATTTAAAGCCCAAACTATATAAAAAATTGTTGATCGAAGAAATAAAAGCAAATAATAAAAGATATGTATTAATTATTCAATGAAAAGATATAAGAATATTCTACCGTTACAGAACAGCCTCCATTCAGTTATCTTCGATTTAATTGATTCGATTTTGGTATAAATTGAAAACGTGATTTCCAATTACGTAGAAGCTATAATGGAATGCGAATGAAAGCGGCGCAAAAACCCGAAGTCGATTTAAATACGAGCAGGGTTCGATTGTGTCGCGGAAGTGCGTCTGATGTGGACTCAATGCGAAATCAGAGCTCCCCCGGGCCTGGCTCGATATCCGATTTAATCTATCACAAATGAATGGATTTTTAGAAAAAAACAACGTTTTGTGTTGCTCAGTTGTGACAGCAATGAGTTGAAAACGGTCGAGTTGGCATGAATCTGACAAAAATCCCATCCTGTAGGTAATTCGAGGGTACGTTCAGTTTATTAGCGCCGGCGGGAACGCATATTCGCGTCCGGTCGTGCGCGTTGTAATCAATTCTGTCCAAATATTGATCGTTTTTTCCACTTCCTTTCTATTCAACGGAACGGAAAAGACGGATTTCTGTCGACATGCACGTAATCAATACTCTACGCACACCCCTTTTTATTGCGTTATTAGTGAAGCCGTATACGTGCATACGACGAATACATCATCAATGAATCTAGCATGGCTTCTTTGTTTTTTAGGTTAATTATGGTTTAATAAAACTAATCGTAATTTTATTTTATATTTACGTAATTTTATTTCGTGCAATTAACAACTTATTGAATATTGAACTCGCGTATTAGGTAAAAATACTAAAAACTGTGGTAATCAATATAAATTTAACAACCGACGAGTGGCTATAAGCTAACCAATTTTATGCCGCATGGTGCAGTACATCTACCTTGTACGTTATACTACGGCTAATTACATCCTAATACCAAAGGCTTGTATCTATAAGTAGGTAATCCAACCTTTTCCTTACTGTGTAAACAGTACTTAATACTCCAGTTACTTATTCAAAACAAACAAACGTTAGGATTAATCTTTTAGTTATGAAAATATTTTAGTTATGGATTATCAAACATTAATAACATAAATGAAATAAGATATTATTAGATAATAAAAACACGAGAAGTTTATTTCTCCGTAGTGTTTATGCGAGACCAACTTTATGACAGCTATAAATATTCAGTGTCCTGGAATGCATGTGAAATATCTTCTTGTGATGCTCATCAGGACGTATATATGTTAGATGTTTGTAGTAGTTTAGGTAACAAAATACGAAATAAGCACATTGAAATGTCATTTTAACTAATTACAGTTTCTTTAATAGGCTTATGTTCCTTCTTGTCAAAGTTTTATTTCAAACAATACAAAAAAACATCTTTATTAAAGCCGTAAAATGGTGTTTAATATATGTTTTGTTATTAGATTCTGAAAAGTACGTATCGCTATAGTTCGGCGTATTGTCAAATATGAAACGAGGCGAATGATAATGGAATTTCTGGGAACAACCCTTGTTGTGGGGTTCGCCGCCAGGGGGTGTTTGCGGGGTGCGCGGGCCGGGGGCGGGGGGGGGGGTGTCGGCGACTAGCGAGCCCATCCATCACGCGGCGGGGGCGCAATTAGACGGAGTACATGTAGATGTGCTGACACGCCGCCGCCGCCAGCCGCCAGCCGCCAGCCGCTAGCCGCGTCCATCTTGTAACTAACTTGCGGCACAAGTAATGGAAATGCTAATGCCAATCCATATTTAATGCGATTATTAATTTATCCTGGTAATTGTTATAGGTTCTTACTTCATAATAGTATGTACCTAAACCGTTAATTTGTGTTATTTTTCGTATTGAAATTATTTAAAAACTCGTAAGTAACTGAAATGGCAGGCATTAACGACATAATGGTTATACTCTTTTTCTTTCATAGAAAACCATTAAAAGCCTAAGCCTCCACTCGTATACATTCCAATCTAGAGTAGTCACTTTTCTGTTACGGACTCCATAATCATAATGCTTTAGTTATTATCCGACTTTTATCTTTCCATTTTAAGTTTTTAATAGCGTCCATTTTAAAGTAGACTTGGCGCCGATACTTGTGGGTCGATTTTTAGTTTTAATTCAGATAAAAATCGGACGAGAAGATAATGAAGGCCGGTGCAACGAGCGATGAGGCGGTGAGGCGGCAAGGCTATGCGGATGGCAGCGCGGTAGCGGCCGCCGATTATCCGCCGATAACACACAAAAACAACGTTTTGATTTATGAAGAAAGCTGTAGAGGCGGCTACCGGGCGCCGCACAGACGACTTGTGCACTCTAGTGATGTTACTACTCACTTTATAAAATGTCGATAAAATTGAGGAACTTCGTAAAAAAGTTTAATTAACTATTAAAATTAATTTCGGTGAAATAGATTTGATATGTAATAATTATTTACTTTTCCATTATCATTGACGGAAGCTTCATTCAACTCATACCTTTACAGTTTTTTAATGATGTACAAAATACATCAAGGCATATAAATAAATACATTGGACTTGTATTGTACGTTCATGATTTGTTACTTGAATATATTCTTATATATATATTCTTGGATTTATTTATTTGAGTTATCGATAAAGGCTAAAATTAAATGTCTTTTCTTGCACAACACTACAAGGCATGGGGGAGTCGACAAGTCCGTCGTTCCGCGGCAAGATTTTGAAACATACGATTATGTAAATGAGGCGGCCGGCTGAGCGCGTTCAAAGACGCCGCCCCAACATATAGCACCCAAGCCTTATTTGCTGTGGCCGACTTGCTCGTTAATATTTCGGATAGATTTATCTTTTATTTTTAAAAGATAAAAATTAAGACGATCGCTGGAATGCGATACTGCTGCATTTAAAAGATAGAAATAAAAAACATCACTCTTTTATAAATGGCGTATTTTTAATTACGGTTTTGGAGATTTTTTTATAAATTGTAATGAAAAACAAACGTAATTTAATTTTGGCAAGTTTTATAATAAGAATCGTCAGGCTTTTAATAATGTTATTTTAATCCAGTTTTCCCTATAGTAAATGATGTCTCCCAACATTTACTCCTATTTCTGATTCCATCCTAAAAATGATAAACAAAACCAAGAGGTTTACAAAAAATTAGAAGCAAAATTGAATTCTTTAAGAAATATAACAACAGCGCCATCTGCCATCGTTTATCATGCAATCCCTAACAGCTGACTTCTGCACTATAGCAAAACAAAGTTGTTGTTTTGAAAAAAACCTTATCTCGCAACATAAAAAATATTCAAGTCAATTTGTTTTGCCCTGATAAGGATTATTTTCATTACGAAAAAGTATCACAATTTCGTACATAATGTAATGTGTAATAAAACCAATACCTACGTCGATTATATTAATCTTAAATTAAGGAATACAAAGGTTTGCACTTCGGATTAATTTTCAGGTCACCTGTAAGGGCTTAGATATTTAAGCAATTTAAGAAATATTTCATTTCATTTGGCTGACAACTTAAAACCGTTTATACATAACTGCCACGAAAAAAGTTACGCTGTCAACTGTCAAATAACGTCAACGACATAAAATCACGTTGGTTTTAGGTTATTTAGATTTTGTATTATTTTAGAAATTATTACCCTGTAGCACTATGGGAAAAGTTAGAAAGCGTAAGCCAAATAAATCTCAAAGTAACACAGTAGCAGATGTTTCCGATGAAGAACTGCCGGTTGATTCGAAGGAAAATGTTATTCAAACAATATTGGATCAACTACAAGTAAGTTTTTACTATTTTGCGTTTTGCTATCAATTAATTAGTATTTAAGAAATGTACATGGCTAATCTTTTGTATACCTCCTGTAAGGATTGTCCAAAAAGTGTATATAATAATTTTTTTACAGGCAGCAAATGTGGAAGAGAAATACTGCGGTTTGCAAACTTTTGCGTTTATTATAGAAAGTCCGGAAAATATAGAGCAGGCGATAGAGCGGGGAGTTGTTAAAGCTGTAGGTCCATTGTTACTGGATCCTGCTGGGTCAGTCAGAAATGCTGCAGCAGGTTCATTGCGTAATCTGTCTGCGGTTCAGCTCGAAGTATGTGATTCCTTGATGGAACAAGACATAATGACGCCTTTAATATGTTGGTTTGAGAAGGTGAGTTGTACATATATTAACTTGTCTTTTTATTGCGTAATGTACTATTAAATGGTGTGTCTTCCTATAATTTTAATTGTTATTAATTTTTATAGCATGCTGATAACTGGACCCCGGATAATAATTCTAAGACAAAATTGGAGGATGTCGATACTTTCATTCAATGCATAAATCTTTTACTTAATCTATGCGAGAGTTCAGGTAATATTTATTTTATTACAGTCTTTTTTAATTTTTTTTTTAAGAATTCAACAAAACACCATTTTGACACTAGCTAAAGTTTTCATAGATGTTATGTTTTGTTTTCAGAATTGGCTGTAAAATATTTAGGACAATCGAGAATTTTAAGCATATTACTTCCAAGATATTTAGACATTGGTACATTTGGTTGTGACATTGTATCATCAGTACTGCAATGTTTGTTTGTT